CCCGCGTTCCCACGCTGCGTTCCTGCGGCGCCGGTCCCTCTGCGGGCGCCCGGCCGCCCCAGCTCACGGCGTGATGCACTTGACGCTGGCGTCTTCGGCGTGGCCGCAGTTCGTCTTGCCCCAGCTGGAGAAGCTGCAGTGCAGGAGGCTCTCCTCCGTGCCCTTGCAGGAGACGTCGTCCATCCAGATCCTGCCCGTGCCTGGAAAACAGGGGCTCCGTGAGCTCCGAGGTCGGCTTTTCCCGCGGCATCGCTCGCCCCGGCCACCCCTGCCGCGGGCAGGCCAAGGTAGCTGCTGTCAATAAACTCAGCCGGCCCGGGAGATCCTTTTGGAAAGTCTCCACCACCTCCACCCTCTCCTACCGCTTTCAGGATCTGGGGGATCCCCGTGTGCCGTGGCGAGAGGAGCAGCCGTGGGAATCGAGGACCCTTCCTTGGACGAGGAGGAGGATTTCGTTCGACACGGAGCTTTTCCCCGGCGCTTCGGGGGAGCTAGGCGTTACCCGAGCACAGCCCCAAAAGCAGTGGCGTGGCCGCATCCGGCACGGCCCCAAACCTTTGCAGAGGGGCTTGCGAGAAAATATCAGCTTGGGAGAGCCGGCGGCGGACGGTCTCTTGCCAAGGTGGAGGAAGACGAGATCTCCCACCTACTCCCACCTCCCCAGGGCTGTGATCTCTAGGATGCAATTAGCATCGTCTAATTAGCTCTGAGCAACCCCGAGCTCTCATCCGCGTGCTGAGGCGGCCGCTGAGCTGGGAAGTGCCAGCTCCCAACCCTCGGATCTGGCCTCTGGCAAGGGGAAATATCCATGTCCTCAAACACAGGATTCGTCATCACCTTGGCAACTCCAAGCAATTGGAACAAAAGGCAACTAAAACACTTAAAAAACCTACCCAGAACGAGAGCTAGCCTGAACAGAAACGCCGCAACCAAATAGTTGGGGGGGGCGAGGGCCATCGTTCCACCTGCCAAAGCAGGCGCTGACATTCCCGCTCTGTTTTTAAAGGGTTTTTATTATTGTTCTAAAGAGAAAATGGATATCGAGAGTTGTGTCCAGCTGAAAAACCAAAGCTTTTGTTCAAGAAAGTCCCGGGGCCTGAAAGCCGTGCCTGGCTCGGCTGCCGTCCCTCCTCCTGGCTGTCCCCTCTCCCAGCAGGACTTTCCAGCCTCTGTCCTCCTCGCAGGGGAAATGCTGGATGCCACCGGGCTCGTTCGGGGAGGGC